GACAATCTATCAATAACTACGAGCATTTGCACTCATTGCATAATCAAAGCGCGTTGTTCAATTCCATAGCAGAAAATATTGATTACATTCAGAGATACATTCGTAACTTCGGGTCCGACGTGCGACCTTTGGGTCCGGCCACTGCCGTGACCCTCGTCCTTGCGTCCCACGCATTTTTCTCCGCCCTTCCAGTCAGCTCGACATCGGTACCTCCCCCGCGGGGTATTCCGCCGTAGCTCCTCGTCCTCTCAGGAGGTCCAAGGGATGTGCTCCTGGCTGGACTGTGGCAGCCATTAGCTGTCCCGCTGCGGGCCATAGCCATGATGCCGCTGCTGTGCCGCTGAGTCGACAATGTGGCGTCCCGTCCACTGCAACAGGGACCAGTGATCGACAGTGGAATTGTTGGTTCACTCCCACGGAAACTAATGTCAGCCACCCCCCATTCGTACGCCGCCGAATCAAACACTGTGCTTCAGCTTCGAGATGCGTAAGTGAATCAGTATCTAATTGTGGATTTTATTTTAAAATATATCTTCCTTCACAGAGCACTTATGTACTCTAGGCCTTGCCAAAAATTGAGTCGTATCCGATTTCCCCCCGCCAGACGGAGTCCTATCCAAGTATCCCAGCCAGAAATACTCGTATCCCAGCAGGAGAGGAGCGGAGGGACAGGGGACAGGTGACAGCAGAAAACCCATTGCAAGATCCACGCATGACAGGTCATCGTCATCCTTCGACCGGGTCATCGACAACAAGGACTTTCACTATGGTAACCAAGGAAGGGGCTTCGCGTGCACGATACTCTAGAATATAGAGTAAAGATATGTAGATCTCGTTGTTGTTAGGTTTAAGAATTTACGCATCCATATATTTAGATAGTAGATAAGTTATAATAAATAAAATTATTGAAAAATATACGTTATATAATTATATAATTATTATTCTTGATTTTTATTGAATAATTATTATTTTTGGATCAAATAGCCGAGAAAACTAAATATAAAAGTGTCATTGGAGTCCTAATCAAAGGATCAAGGACGTTTATCTGATAACGTGGGTCCATGGCACGTCCCGATAGGGCCACAAATAGGAGAAAACAAGATATATACATATGTCTGGATAAAATATCCTTGATTCTTGGTCCTTGATAAGGACTCCGTCAGAACAGGGACATTTTTCCGATCACAGAAAGCCGTTGCACGCTTAGATCGGTCCATAAATAGCGGACAAAATTTATATTTTTGATCCTTGATATCCTTGGTCCTTGAAAAGGACTTCATAAAATCAGGGACATTTTTCCGATCACAAGAAGCCGTCGCATGTCCCGATCGGGGCTCAAAAAACGGAGAAAAAAAATCCTCTTGTCAAATGGCCAAAATCTGGATGGATACCAGGCGAACAGAACCAGCAGCAAGCAATTGTAGAAAATGAAAAAAAAATGTGGCATACTTTTGGGGGACAACAAATTAAAAAAAATTCAGTTACCTTCTGCTAATTTCTGTTCGCCTGGTATCCCATCCAGATTTTTGCCATTTGACGCGAGGTTTTTCTGTTGTACGGTGTCGCCCCTATCGGTGATTTCTTGAACTACATTTTCAAAAATAACAAATTACAAACCCGTTATGTTTTCTCCGTTAGTTGAGCCCCGATCGGGACATGCGACGGCTTCTTGTGATCGGAAACATGTCCCTGAATTTTTGAAGTCCTTTTCAAGGACAACGGATATCAAGGATCAAAAATATTGATGTTCTCCGTTATTTGAGGCTCGATCGGGCAGTGCGGCGGCTTCCTGTATTCGGAAAGATGTCCCTGATCTCCCTAAAGTCCTTATAAAGGACCAAGGATCAAGGATATTTTCATCAGACATGTTTATCTTTCTTACTCCGTTATTTGAGGACCGATCGGTACGGCCCCCCGTGATCTGAATAATATCCTTGATCCTTTGGTAAGGACTCCAGAAAACCAAACCATAATTATCTGGTTTTCTCGGCTATTTGTGGCCCGATCAGGACATGCGACAGCTTCCTGTGTTCGGAATAACATCCTTGATCTAATGTAGTTCCTATCAAGGACCAAGGATCAAGAATATTTTCTAAAGACATATATATCTTGCTTTCTTCCTTATTTAGTGCCCGATCGGGGCGTGCCATGGTCCCCCGTGATCAGAAAAATGTCCTTGATCCTTCGGTAAGGACTCCAAAAGCGGATATTTAGTTTTCTCGGCTTTTTGTGGCCTGATCGGGACGTGCGACGGCTTCCTGTGATCGAAAAATTGTCCCTGATTTTATGGAATCCTTATCAAGGATCAAGGACATTTTCCCAAATCACAAATGTTTAGTTTTCTCCGGTATTTGGTCACCGATCTGGATGTGCAACGCCTTTTTGTAGTCGTGAGAGTTTCCCGATAAAGGATGATTTTTCAATCATTTTATTTACTATAACTTAGCTTCGTGTAATTAATAAACAAGTGGGAAACATTTGTATCTACTATCTAAATGAATGCATGCGTATATCCTTAAACCTAACAAGAGCAAGATATATCTAGAGTCTAGTAGCCCGCGTAGGTCCTCCTTTGGTTTCGTAGTCAAAGCCCTTCAGATAGTTTTCGATGGCCAGGTCGAAAGATGACGACGGATTCTTAGGCTCGGGCTCTTGCGAGGGATGCGCTTCTGTCCTGCTGGGAGGCGATTCTGTGGCAAAGCGTAGGGTACATAAGTGCTCTGTGAAGGAATATATGTATAACTTAAAATAAATCCACAATTATATACTGATTCACTTACGCATCTCGAAACTGAAGCCAAGCGTTTGATCCGGCGGGAGTGACCCATCAATTCCGCCGTCGATCACCGCAACTGAAACCCGCCTAGGAGTGGTATTTATTTAGTTTCAAAATTGACAAAAATCTAGTGAATCTCTTGCGGATTTGCTGTTACCCCAAAACAGGTGCACCATTTCAGCACATGCTGTAAAAGTAAAGGGTATCGGAGAGGCCAATCCTTTCGCCCAGTGGTTGAAAAGAGTATCGTTACAATAATAGCTTCATACTGCTTTATATAAGTATTTTCTAAGCTAGGTAGTAGATCATATTTGGGACACTATGAAGGTTAATTTAGCAAGGAAAGGCAACGAGTTTTATATGTACAAATGTATATTCAGCTATAAACAAGTTCCTAATTTATGAGAATACGAAGCAGTAGCCACTATTGGCCGCAGTAACTGTAGTTCATAGTTTGGTTTTCATAAGGGATTGTTTGGGAATAGTTTAGGGACAATTTGTTGCCAGCCAAAGGGCTTGCTAATCGGACACTTGCCCTTTGATCAAGCAAACCATTGTATATCGCCTAATTTCCATCTAATTCCGCTTCCGCTGCGAAAAAGGCATTAACCCAGCGACACGCATGGCCACTTCCAGCAGTACTCGTATAATGTTCCTTTTCCCTGGCCACCTATTCATACTGTATGTTAATTAGACATTTGTGACGTGAGCTACGTTTATTTTGGGGATGTCAAGGCCAGCGTTAGTTAAATATTTCGTCTTGGTGCTGTGGTACATATGGATATAAGGACACCTGTAACGTTATGCCATGCCTCCAGTACACTTGCCGGACATCAATAATGAAGTGAGTCGTACTAGAACTGGTACCAGTAAGAGCAGTCGCCTTACACATTCGAATTCCACCAGGCAGGGGCGCCCAGTCCCCAGTCCCAGATCCATAAAGAGTCCCTCGACATTCGTGCGCGCACTCCGCTCGGCAACACAGTCCACTAATTTAGCTAATTAAAAATTTAATGAAGCTCTCCAAACTAAAAATAAAAAAATACCGCCGACACGAAGGTGCCCAAACTTGGGCAATTGGAACACCTGTTGGCCCCGTAAAACTCTGCGGATTGTTTCCCAGAGCTATAATACCCCGAAAACGAAACGACCCAAAAAAGGACTGCAATTGAATTGTGTCCGAATTTCCGGAAAATCAGTTAGCCACACCCCGCACGCAGCACCGGGCCGCGGCGCTAGAAGTGGCGCCCGAAATCGAAAGCGCTCAGTGGAGCTCGGTGGCTTTTTAGTGGGTGCCTGAAAGTAGGCAGCGAAAGCGAAAACGAAAACGAAAGCCGTTCTCTGCGCTGCGCATAATTGAGTGGCGGCGGCCATCAGTGCGTCGGCAAAGTATCCTGATTTGCATACCACTGGCAGTCCATGCTGGCGCTAAGGCTGCTTTCCGCTGGGGCTCATGTCATTAGCAGTGTAACGGGGGGCAGGAACGGGACGAGGCGAGACGGGACAGTGCCGGGTGGAGACCGAATTTACATGCCAGCGCGTGACACACGAGGCGTATGGGCAACGTTCCTTGTCGCCAGCTCGTAGTCTCCGCCTCCGCCTCTGCCTCCTTCCTCCTGGCGCGCTGCTACGCTTCCACGCTGTAGTTGTTTGACTTGCCCCTCCGCTCGCCCCTCCCTCCGCCTGGATTACATGTCTAGAGCACATCAAACAAGCTTACTTACCAATGACCTCGTTAATGACGCACATACACAAAGGCACACAGTCACACACGCAAAGGACACACTCACACCCGTGCAGCCAAAAGGGCAACTCTGTGTGCGTTTGCCGTGCTGTTGGGTTTACTTTGTAATTTTCGCTTATCAGATTTATTTTTATTTTTATTTTCCTTTTCATTTTTGATTTTTTGTCAGCTCGCACTCGCAGTGCAGACGGGGCGGGAAAGCGCGGTTTTTGTGGGAAATCGACCTGGGCAATGCCCTGGCAAAAAACAATGCGCAAAAGAAATGGAAACATAATACAAATTAAAGAAGAATTATAGTTCCCATTCAAGTGTAAATAATTTAAATTAAAAGTGTGCTGCAGAAATATAATATGGCATCCCTTAAATGCTCGCAAATGTAAATTTAAATCCACTGTAAAAACGGATAAAGTTCATTTTTAAAATTATTCAAAGTACTTTTTTATTTGTAAGAGGAACAGGAAAATTATTTCGCTTTCCCATGTTATTGTCGCACTGTTTAAGGTAAAAGATCGGGAAACTATGGAGCATATACATATGTACCTTGTGTCGGGTATTCAATGAATATCAGTAGAAGGAAACTTGATTCTAGTCGTGGACCCTTAGGGACCTTTTTCAAAGCTCTGCAGAATGGTCCGTGCAGCGGGACGGTCCTCCAACGAGGCATTCGTGCACAGGAAGAACAGAGCGACGATGCTGTCGTGTTCCTCGCTCACCTGGAATCCCACTGGCAGAGCGGGCCGCATCCCGTAAGGGGGCAGGAGGCTGCTCTCCGTGAGATCGGAGAGATCCTCGATTAAATCATTATCTGGCAGGTTCTCCTTGTTTTCACCGCAAAACATATCCATGTTCAGGGTGTGCGGCGGCACCAGGGCCAGCGTCTCGTAAATGACAAGGCCAAAGCTGAAGATGTCAGCCTTGTTGTCCAAGATCTCCGACTGCGTAATCACCTCCGGAGCCGCCCACAAGCCCGTGCCCTCGTAGAATAGACTGCCACTCCTGCGGAGCTGCACCTGGCCATGCTCGTCCAGCGGCAGAGCCACACCAAAGTCGCACAGCTTGCAGTTCTCGAACTCGCCGTTGATGAGCACATTGAAGGACTTGAGGTCGCCGTGGAGCACCCGGGCATCGGTGTGCAGAAAGTCCAGGGCCCGGGCCACGTCCGTGATCACTTTGGTGGTGTATTTGGCGGGCAGCGGCCCTAGTTTGCCCTCGTGCCGCTCGTCCAGAATGGAGCCCAACGAGTTGCCGCATATCTCCAGGACCAGGCTGTTCAGGCCTTCGAGCGACGTGACCAGGCCACAGAAGCCGACAATGTTTGGGTGCTTCAGTTTCCCCAAGATCTGCGCCTCGTGCAATATTCGCTCGTTGAAAACCATTTCCCTCTTCTCCACGGCATCTTGCGTCATTCTCTTGACGGCCAAAGGTGTACGGATCTGGCCGCGTCGTGGCGAGCGGTCCAGGCGGTAGACCTTCACGCCGCTTCCAAAGCCCAGGGTCTTCATCGATGACGATGCCGGGATGCGAATCGGGGAGCTGATGTCCTGCCCGTTCTCCGGAGATAAGTCGCGCAACCTACGGGGCGGCGTCTCCATCTTCAAGAGGCTTCGGTCATAGTTAGCTTTGTTTTTCTCGCAAATATCGTTGTTACTTACTCTTATTCGAAGATTACTGTTCAGAAATGCTACACGGAAGTGCTACAGTGACATAAAAGTCAAGGCAAAGCAGTTCCCTTAACCGAGCAATCCTTTGACTGCTGGGTATCGGTATCGGGAATCATTCCGTCTTTTGTGGAACCCTGCTGACGTAGTCCCGGCTCGCTCCGGTCACAATTAAAGTAATTGCCCATCCAGTAGCCATAAAAAATCACCCGATTGTCTCTGGCTTCCATCGTTCCTTTCCGCCCCTTTTTAATGAGAGCCTCGCTAATAACTTTGACAATATGTTTGCTTAATTACCATTGACATCATAGCAATGGCACTACCACTTCCACTTCCACTTCCATTCCTTTATCCATCTATGGACCCATATTCATTCCCATTCGGACTCGCTTCTCTGTGTGGCACAATGAAACACTGCACATACGTGGCATTTTGATACTGTATTTGTCTCATCATCTCATCGTATAACCATTAACACATGCTCTATTTAATTACAATACACTAGTTTTAGTTTAGTTAACTATTAGTTAATTGGTCGAGCGCTGGACACGTTTCGTATTTGGTTTCGTGGATTGGATGCACATTCCTTCTCGTTTGCTTTGATCTTTTCCAGGTCTCCGAAAGTACCCCATACCTACATATATTCAGCGTATACATTATATTCAAATAATACTTGTGTGCGTGTGCGTGTGCATGTGTGTGTGTGTGTGGTTATAACATAGATACATAATTACATACGTGTATGCATAACGAGTATTTTGTAAAAGACAAAACGAAAAATAACAGTCGCAAAACTGGTGGAATCAAAGCAAATTAAATTTATGTTTATATCAAAGGAATCTTTTGGAACTTAACAGAGAACTACATTACGTGCTAGGGGGGACCATTAGGCTGGTCCTCAGAGAGGACTCAAACAGGAGGCTCACAGAATTTAACACTAAACATAATTCAAATAATTATCGACTTCTGCTGGGATCCAACAAAATAATTACAACAGCTCTGATGAGTTTCGACTTACATAATATTCTGGGGTTCCTAAAACGGATTTCGATCTATTGTACCTTGGGCTTCTTGGGTCTTGAATCGACATCGAACCTAATCTCGCACAGAAAATAGAAATGGGATAACAATACTGCATGGCATTTACATAGCAGGACGCACTAGGAGTTCTGTCATTTGAAATATGTGTAGGTGTTATGGGTAGAAATCAGTAGAAGTGGCGTTTTCCTTTCTAGAGCGACCTCCTCGACGAATGGAATACTTGCTAAGAAAATCGAATCTAAAGGTGAACAATTGTCTGATTGAAGAAAACTATAAGATTATAAGATGTTGAGCTCTTTCTTGGCGATTTCAGGGACCAGCCTAATGCATTGGATTTGCTATATTTTTGGTTTTTCGTTTTTGTTTCAGTGTGGGAGGAATTTCTATCCGTTCAGCCCCGTTTTTTTGTTTGTTTAAGGTGTAAACTGGAATTTGCTTGCTATCAACTAAAACATTGACTAAATTTAATTGCACCTACTCCCCGTCCAACCCGTCTCTGGATCTGGCTTCTGGACCCTCTAGCTGTGCGTCTTGCACAGGCGGAGCAGCAGCGGATAGTGCAGATCCTCGTCGTACAGGGCGGAGTCGGCCTTGAGCTGGAGGTGTCGCTGCCAGATGGTCTCGTTGTAGCGCGTGGCCAGCTCCACCGCAAAGCCCCGGGCCATGCACTCGTCCTGGAACATGCTGAGGGTGCGACCGCGCCTCGGGGCCATGATCAGAGCCACGCCCCGGGGCGCCAGGTAATACCAGATGGTGTCGACCAGCGCCGACCGGGCCTCGTCGAAGAACAGGCAGTCGGCGCACAGGATGAAGTCGAACTTTTCCTGCTCCGCCTGCGCCCGGGCCGAGCGCTCCTGCCACTTGAGGACCGAGCACTTGGTGTAGCAGCTCAGCTCGTTCAGGCAGGCCGTCTTGCGGACGTTGTCCACCGAGACCTCGTTGCCGTCGGTCAGGTGCACGGCGTAGGGCTTGGCGTACTTGGCCAGCATGAGGCCGGCCAGGGAGGTGAAGCCGCCGCCCAGCTCCAGGATCCACTTGCCGCGATACGCGGCCACTTCGGAGAGCACCAGGGCCGTGAGAGCCTCCTCCGAGGGCCACACGCAGATGTTGCCCGTGTTGTTGAAGCCCATGAGATCGCTGGCGGTCAGCTGGCGCTCCATGTGGTGGATGTTCACCGAATACTCGACGTCGTTGTCCAGCTGCATGCGGTACTTGTACCAGTTCTCCGTCTTGCCCAGGCACTTGAGGCTCACGTGGTCCTCGAAGCTGTCCTGCTGCAGCAGGTCGAAGCTCTTGAAGCGCCGCACCGACGCCGTCTGCTCCTCGCTGAACTCGTCGCTGGAGGAGGACACTGTCTCCTCGGAGTCCTTGCGCAGCACCTTGGCCAGAATCTTCCAGCGCTTCTGGGCCGTGTTCTGCAGATTGGGTGTGGCCGGAGGTGTGGGCGGCATGAACCCCTGACCGGCCCCCGCTGGGGGGCACCCCTTGGCCAATCCCTCCAGCTCTAGCTCGGCCATTGGGCCGACCGCAGCCCCAGCCGCAGTCCTATTCAGGTTAACGTCCGTGTCTTGGTTATTGTTAACTGCCAGAGCTCCTGGTCCTCCCGTTCCCATTCCCATTCCCCTTCCGTCCATCGTCATTCTTCGGTGCTCCTTGAACGCATTCAGCGTATTGTCTATATCGTATTGCAGCAGCAGCGATATGGTTGCCAGATGTCCCACTTCCACCTCAGGTGACTGCTCCGTTTTCCGGCTTGGTTGCTGCTGGGTCTGGGAATTGATTTGAGTTTCTGCTGATAATTTTTGTACTAGAATGGCTGACATTTTACTTCAGGCCTGGGCTGCTTGTCTTTCGGTTTCAGTTCAGTTTCCGGATTGGTTTCGCATCTGGAAAGGGAATGGGGGCAGAGGAGAACAGAGTTAGCCAGAGTTTTGCCAAAGTTTTCAAAGTTTTTCTCGTCTGGCCGAAACCAATCTCGAATTTTCTACTTCGCTTCGCCTTCTTTCGGGCCCATCATCTTCCAATTATGAATTTTTAATGGCATTCAAAACGCAAATTATCCGACCATAAAATAAAACATATTATACCGAGCGGCAAAAATCCTACAAAAAATTAACCAAAGTCTTTGGCTACATTTTTATAGACCAGACGTCTGTGAGTACACATTTACTGTATGCATTGGGAGACCTGTATCGACTGTGCTATACCCTGTTCGATTTTCGTAGAATCTTTAAGGAATTAAGGAATGATGTAGATTGTTAGATGATCCTATGATACCAATCATTATATAGCTATACAATGGTTATTTAATGTACTTTTCCAGTAAGCACATTATACTCTAATGAATCTCCGGATCCGCACAGACTCATTTCCATTCTTGGGTTACAGCTCGTCTTTATAAAGAGAGAGAGAGAGAGAGAGACCGAGCTAGTTAAAGCAAATCCTGGGTAAATTTGTCTGGAGTATGTTTTTGAAACACTTAACGAATCGTGGGCTTTCATCTAAAAACCAACTAAAAACAACTACAAAATGTATAGATATCTACAGATATGTATATGTAAATAAATCAAGAGAATATTCCCTCGTGCGTGTACCGTAGATTCTAGCGTGGCCTTTATTGTTTTGATTGTTGCACATTTTCACTCTGTATATTTTGATTTTTGCTGCTTGCCGTATAAATTCATCAAAATTAAGAAATTTTACAGCTCATAAAAATGTTAATTGTGCTGACGTGAAAGCAGGCACACACACTATCAGACAGACACATGTTCAATCTGGGATGGGGATGGGCGGTTCTCCAGCAAAACCGGCCAGCGCATTTGCAACCCACCCATTTCCCAGCAATCACCGACAACACGAGCATATGGTGATAAGAGGGCATTCAGTTCTGATTAAAGGCCCCTGGGAATGCCGTGGGTGGACAATGGACCACCGACACCTGGTCTGGCCAGCCCATAGCCCTGTGCGTGGTGCGGCTGAGTAATTAAAGTTCATCGGAATCCAGGTCTCTTTCTTGGTAGCACTCGAATCTGTTTGTCCGGAGAGAGCAACGAATCTGTACACAGACGGCCGGGCATTGTATACTCCCAGTGTGGGCTAATAAACAGAATTCAAGTTCAAGGTCATTCGACCAGATGGATTGGGGAACCTCGAATGGGGTTGGCTCGCATCGAACTCCATTCAGGTAATCCCTAGATTACCTAGACCTAGATTAGGTTCAGAGGGATGGAGGGGAATGTGCAAGTGTTCAAATGTTGTACTATTCGAATACATATTCGCACTCGTAGTAAACCAGTTGCCCCCAATGTTATCCGGGCATTGACAGGTGACACCTGTGCCGATAAGCTGTTGGGACAAGGAAAGCTGTGCTGTTTAATAATGTATCAAAACTGAACTATTGCGTATTCCACACGGTGAATAATAAACAGGCATTCGGAGGAGATTAGTGTCTCCATTTAAATCTCGATTGGATTGGTTGGGCCTCAACCAAAGTCTGGCTTTGTCCAGAGATGAAGTCGAGAAATACCCACCAACAGATGCCCAAGTCTAACATTTATGGATAGTTTCAGAGCTATTTCATTTGCCCCTTAAATAAACATCAAACGCAGAAAAAGATCAAAGCGGCGCCAACGAGCCAGAAAATAACCCAATCATCCTGTTTGCTATTCCAGAGGGCTATTTAATTTCATGCAACATATCAAATCAGCGAAGTGCTTTATGGTGCCGCCCCAAGCCAGTCAGAGCTCAAAGGGAGGCCGTAATGAATGTCCTAATCAAACAAGACCCTCAGCGAAATCACACCTTTAGCATCGCCATTATGGTCGGTTCGACGTTGCCCAGCAATTCCTTATCAAACATTAACAACTTTGGGGAACTTCGGCAGCTTCTTCTCGAACTACTTTTAATGACTGCCCTGCCCCGCCCAGACCCCCATTGGGCGGAGGCGGGGAAACCTCTTTGAAACCCATGCCTAATGCCCGGCTGAAGAATGCGGATTTTGCATCCGCCGAAATGGGGAAACATGAATATTGAGTGGGCTCTGGAAAACGTGCCCCGAACCAGAAACCCGCAGCTCTGCCTCCAGCAAAAGTTTACGCCGGAAACTTTGGTCCAACTTTAAAGCCCGCCCTGCAGCTGCGACAATAAAAGCCGACAATGTTTGCAAAGTGCCCTGGAAGAGACCCCCTCCACCCGCACACGCTCTGACAACATTCTGAGCAAGTGTTCCTCGCCTCAGACCGGTCTGAGAAACACTCGTCAAGCGATTAGCTGGGAGAAGACCCCACCTGGACAGGGCCAGCCTCCGACCAAAGTTCATTTGCAAGTGAGATACCGACAAAAGGCGGAGGCGGGGACAATTGGCGGTTGCCTCAATCAATGGAAATTTAAACTTCTTTCCCTGGCAAGTTCATCCAATTCGATTCGATTCAATCACTCGAGAAACTTTTCTTGCATTGTGGCAACTGGGAACTGTTGTCGACGGTGCCGTGCAGAAAAGTTGCAAGAACAAAGTGAAAAGGTTTTCCGCCAGCCACACAGCCCCACCACCCCCTGCCGAAAACACTGGGAAAAGAAAGTGAAAAAAAACCGACGTGCGTGTTCTTCTCTCTGCACCCTGCACCCTGCACCGTTCACCCCTTCTGGGTTCACCCGTGAACATTGGGGCAGCACGCGACGCTATATATACGAGGACACACGAGTGTGTATATCCCGCCACATCTGATGAATGCTCGACGCTCTTCGCGCTCATTGCTCGCATTAACTCCCATAATTTATTATTTATTGCAATCTACTGTCACAGCAATTTGCTTGGCTTTTCTTTTTATGCTTCTCTGCGGGTTCTTTATGATTATTTTTTCGACTCTGACCTTGGGGCCCGGAGTGTCAACAGACACATGACTTCTGGGCACACATCAAGACAGACAGACGGAGGGGACTCATACCCGGGCTCGCACGATAAAGAGCCAACTGTGAAAAAGAGTTATTCCAGCGGCACTGTCGCTGTCACTGGGGAGATAATGAAGTCAAATTTAATTATGAACGACGGCGGCGAGGGGCAAACTTTTTCCATCAGCGATAATCTAATACACTGCCAAGATCCAGGAGGAGCACAAGGAGGGGGCACACCAACACACTTTCCCTTAATAAATTCAATTTAGAGATAGAGTGTGACACGAAAAAGGAATCAAATAAGTGCACTTTAGAACCTCTTCTAGCAATAGCCACAAGGTAGCATCGAGTGATTAGCTCTTGTTTCAGAGAGTGATAAAACTCATCATTATTGACAAGATATCGATAAATCACAGCAATGACAGCACTGATTGATTGATCTTTGGCATAGCATACATTTGATAGGGTAGAGGAATGCGGGGTATGGTGATTGATACTCCTGTACCACTCACAGCTTATTTAAGATATAGGCATTTACTAGCCCGTCATATCCTTAGAATACATATTTTGATCATTTAAATGAGTAAATTATAATCTCCGCTCTACTCTGCATACGCGGCGTATGCGTAATCGTCAAAAACTTTCGAACGCTTCCTCGTTCATCCGCCATGTATGTACATAGTCGTATATTTTTCTCCTAGAGTCTTAAAATTTTATTAGCACACATAATCCCCATCGATTTACGACCAACTAACTGTCTGAACTGTCTATATATCGTCATGTGTGTGTGCGTTCTTCCATCTTCTCCCTTCCCTGAGATGTACACGAATGCCCGGACCCGTGCATATCGTGTGCGTGTGTGTTTTTGTGTGATTTGTTTACTGTTTACAGGCGTAAGTTGATTCCGACTCAACGTTTTTTTCATGTTTTTCCTGATTTTTGACTGCAAGCCAACGGTTAGCGCATCTGCCTATCCACAAACGAGTTCCATAAACACATATATACTCGTGCATACATACATACATACATATATGTATGTACAGAGATTACACATGCACGACTGCTCAGATTTAATTTACGCTCGCATCTGCTTTTATTGGGCATTTCTTTTCGATTCAATGCCCATTCCCGTACTCATTCCCGCATCCATTCCCATTCCCATTCAGAACCGCTGCCCTGCCCCTGCCCCAGCCGCCGTCCCCTCCGCAGACGGGTTCAAGTAAGTGCAAAAATGTAAATAAAAATCCAATTTTCTTCCGCTTCTGACGAGTGCACGAGGGGCGGTCGACTGTGGACGCAGTGGTCGGGATTCAGTGGGAAATAAAATATTAATTAAATTATTTGCATAGCACATGGCTTCAGCACTGTGCCCGGTGCCCGGTGCCCTGGGCCCCTCCAAGTCCCACTCCCACTGCCAGTCCTTCTCCGCCCCAGGAACATTTCCGGTCTGGCCTGGCCGGAAGTGGTCGGGCCAAGTGTCGCCTCCAATTTTTATTGCCTGTCACTCACTTAACAGCTCCCCTCGTGGCCTCATATCCGTAGTTCCTTAGCCGCATTTCGGCTGTGACGCTGACGCTGGGGAGGGACGCTGGGGGGTGGTGTGTCGGGAATCGGGGCTAGTGATCCAACAGCTCATGACATTCACAAAAGTTCAAGGGGAATTCCCCGATCCGCTGCACTGCGCTGCAGCAAACGTGATTACGCCGTACCGAACAATGACGGAGAATGGTAAAGAGAATGAGTTGACAAAAAGCAAGCGACGCGTCTCGTCTAGGGAATGGAACTTTTTCTTGGTGACTTGGAAGAAACTGTAGGTAATGGTTTATTGATTTCATTCCGTATGTCTCTGGATATGCGGAAAAGCACTCCTGACAGGGCTATCTAGATGGTGGATAGGGAATAGACTGAAAGAACCCACTCTGTTTTTCATATAAACGGTTGAGGAAGGAAAACGTTCCACATTTCACTGTGTCAGCTGTTTTCATAAATTGATTTT